GTATCAGAACAAATATTAAGTATTCGCGATGCTGGTTGCCAGATTTTAGATTAACTCATTCATTTTTACTTGAAAATATATATAAACAAATATCATCTTATACCATATTATAAGATAATATGCCAGTTAAACCCATAGATTACTCAAAAACTCATATTTATAAGACTGTTTGTAGAGATTTGAATATCAAAGATTGTTATGTAGGACATAAAACTGATTTCACCAAAAGAAAGTCACAACATAAGAATACATCATTGAATCCAAAATATAAATATCATCACTCTTTAGTATATCAATTCATTCGTGAAAATGGTGGATGGGAAACTTTGATATGGTGCTAATCAAAACTGAGACATGTGAAAAAATGATTTCAGAACGACCTAAAATATATGACGCTATATACAGTTTAATGTCTCCAGGTAAATCATAAAATAACATAATATATTTAAATATGTATTTCATTTTAAATGCTTTTTCAAACCTAACATATTTAATTATTTTTTCACCATCATCACTATAATTATCACTTTCATCTTCACTATCAGTATCATTTTCTATACGAATATGTTCTTCTAATTCTTTCTTCATTCTTTCTTCTTCCTTAAAAGTAATATGACAATCACTTTCAATATGGTTAGGAGCATCCTTCATTAAAAAAGCTTCACCACATTCACACTCTACTAATTGTTGTAGTCTTTGCTTCCGATATTCTTGAATCTGTTTTGGTATATCACCGTCGAAAAACCTTACTGGTTCTTCATATATTCTTTCTTGAATCATTTTTAACATTCTATAATATATAATAGATTTATTTTATTTTAAAAGCTTTCTCAAATCTAACATAAAACATATTATTAACATCTTTGGAATTCATATTAACATAAAAGAAACTATAAGGTGCATCATCTACTGATTTATGATACATACTTAACAGTTGCTCTTTATCAACAATGGCAGAGTTTTCCTCAATGAATGACATTTACTCTGATACATTCTTTAACTTGAAGATATACAACGAACTTGAATTCAACCTAATGATTGGTGCTAGGACACGATATTTTTGAACGCTTAAACAAAAACTAATGGCATCGTGCCTACTTCTCGTTGCCAGTCCATGAAGTAACTTACTATATCTAACAAATTTAGGGTCGTCTGCAAAATCATCAACAATTATTAAAATTGAATGTAGTTTCTTCACCTTCTGTTCTTTCATATAATGAATTCTCTTTCTTTGTGTGTTAATTATTTCTTCCAGTTCTTCAGGTTGGTAGGTGTCATAATATAACTTGTCTTTTTCATCATCAACCTTCATATTATCTTTTTGGTATTTCTTGACTTCAACAAAGGTAGGGTCGTTATGAACTGACGGGCTAAAAATGAATATACGGGCGAAGCAGTCCCTATAAACATTTAGGATAAGGTTTTGTATTAAAGCTGTATTGCCGCCCGTTGATGAAGCAACAACGATGGAGCGGAATGGTAGTGTTGGCACATGCTCAGTTGGTTTTATTGTTGGGACATCTGACATAATAAAATAATATTAAAGTTATTTAGAAAATATGTTATATTTATCATGTTATATGAATAGAAGCTATTCAGATTATATTGATATAATAGATAAAGTAGAAAATGTAGAACAAGTTGTTATAATTGATCATAAAATCAAAAATAGCTGTTATTATTCATTAGAATTAATTAAGTTTGTGATATAATATATCAACAATAGAAATGTAAATATTAATATAAATGGGAAGAAAGACAAAGAACAAGGCCGAACCAGTTGTTTCTTCAACTGATGAAGAAAAAGAAGAAATTGTTAAAGAAACATCAGTTATTGAGTTTGCTTGTCCGATGCGTAAAAAGATGTTAGAAATGAAGAATGAATTAGAAATACAAAAGAAAGGAAATTGTAAATGCTCGTGTATTCCAACAAGTTTCAAAATAAGTAAAAATGATAAGAAAATGAATATTGGTAAAACTAGAGACAGTATCAACTTAGAAACAGATGTTCATAATATTGTTATACGCTTTGGGAGGGGAGTTACTCCATCCGATAATGGTGATAAGGAAACACAGGAAACTATACGTGAAATGATGAAAAATTAGTATTTAAAGAGTAGATTTAACATAATTGCAACATTTAGTTTTGAAAGTTTAGTTTTATAATTTAGTATATATTTACATGGATGAAAGGATTAGATAAGATTGTTAAACAACAAAAAAAGGTTTTAGAACAGAATAATAATATTTTAGAAATATTGCAAGAAATGGAAAAGAAGAAACCATTAACAAACAGTTATCAAAGTAAAGAAGTAGATAGAACCAGTGGTGAATGTAAAAATACAAGAAATATTTATTTAAACAAACTTAATAACAAAGAAATTACAGAACCGAAGTCTTCCACTATGACATTTTATCAGATTCACTATGATGAAGAAACAGGGATTTATTCATAGATAATATTATCTAAATATCTTTAATAATGAACTTATTAGAGATGTTTAGCGGGACAGGCAGTGTTGGACTTGTAGCAAAAGCAATAGGTTTCAATGTTATTTCATTGGAATTGAAAAATGCTGATATAAATACTGATATTTTGAAATGGGATTATGAACAATTTGATAGGAACCATTGTGATTTTGTGTGGGCAAGTCCTCCATGTACGGAATACAGCAAAGCAACAACTGCGGGAATTAGGAATATCGAATATGCAAATAGTATTGTCTTAAAAACTATTGAGATTATCAAATATGTTAATCCTAAATATTGTGTAATCGAAAATCCTCAAACTGGATTCTTGAAAAATCAGGAGTTTATGGATGAGTTTGATTTTAAAGATGTAGATTATTGTAAATATGGAATGCCCTATAGGAAAAGAACCCGTATTTGGACAAACCTAACAACATGGAAACCCCGACCACTGTGTAAAAGGGATTGTGGGAAGGTTAGGAATGGGAAACATATTGAAACAGCTCAAAGACTACCCAGTGGAACCAAGGAACAATGGGGGGACAACTACATCAGACACAAACGGAAGACCTATATAAAAAACCAAGGAATTTAACTTGAATTTTTGATGAGCTTGACCTGACGCTAATAGGTTTTGTTGTGAAACAAAATGTAGCGAGCGGGATTGTAAATCCAACATGGTACTATTCCTTGACACGAAGCATGGGAAAACAATTCCTCATGTTAAATCAACAACTGACGAAGACCGCAAACATCACCTTGTAAGGAACAAATAGGCATGGTGGAAAGAAAAGACGTGCATGGTGGAAAGAAAAGACGTGCATGGTGGAAAGAAAAGACGCGCATGGTGGAAATGCTGTTTTTTACAGGGTTTCCACCGAAGCACAATTCTGTTTGGAACATGGTGTAAAACATAACTTTGTCATTGAAGAACAGTAATAAGTCATAATGTTTAATCATACTATCATAATAACATGTAAAATCTTATATGTTATAATTATACTATACTTATGGTTTGTAAAGATTGAAATATTTTAATTTTCCTTATCTCTTTCAAAGTGCGTTGTTTGAACTTGGTATGCTCTTTTGATTTGTTCGTTCTTTGGCTGTTTGTATTTATTTTGTTTGATACTCTTCTGATTTTTTTTTTATTGTTATGCTGCTTTGAAATTTGTTAGTGTGTGTGTTTGAGTTTGTGTTCTTTGATGGTTTTTAGTTTTGCTGTTTTGTTGGCATGCTTGATTGAATTATTTAATGTTGTATGCTGTGATTAAATAGTTTGTTGGGGGTTGTTCTGGTTTTTGAGTTGCTTGGTGGTTCTTATCTTGTTTGCTGTGAATTTTGCAGATTTGTGTTTATGCTGTTTCATTATTTGGGTTTGATGTTAGAAGTGCCGTTTTATGTATTTTTTTTGGGGGGGGGTGGTCAAAAAAAAGGCATTTTTGGCATCCCCTTTAAAAGCGGCACCTCGGCAATTTCAGAAGAAACCAACCCAAAAATGGCTGGAGATAGATCCCAGTTTCCCAGTTCCCTTCGTCATCCATCCGTGCCATCAAGGTCCCTTTAAAGGAAAGCCGCACATCACATGTGAATATGCTGCCACCAGAAGCAAACTTACCAGGGGCAACCTCACACATACCTTAAACAAATCCCCGTCCCGAGAGTCTGGAGGTTCCAACCGGAAAAAAAAAGTCTTATGTTCTATCCGGGTCAGAGTTAAAAAACCAAAAAGGCAAACAGTCAAAACGGTAAGTCTGGCAACACTTAGGTCTGCCCCAGAAACCTAATGGAGTTGCTGCAAAAAAAGTGGGGACTCGGACAAAAGCACCCGAACTCGTCGCCCTCGCCACTCCCCGCTGCAAAATGCATGCTCAAATTCCCACCGTCTTGTGTGCGATGAGTGGGTTGAGCAACAACACTCAGCTTTTGCATATCCGTTCGTTTGCCAAAAGGGCGGTTTTCCTGTTGGTTTCCCGTTCAATAAAACCAACACGGGGTACCAACTCCGAAAAGACAGACCCAGTCATCAGTCCGAGACCTTTGGGCTCACTGTGGTTCCGAAACAAGCTGCTCCAAATTGTTTGGACCTCACCTGTCTGCGGGGCTCGTGAGGTACGTGGCTAGAAACAAACAAACAAAGAAACCTTGAAGCTAAGTGAGTGAGGTGCGTGGGTAGAAACCAGCATCACTCAGCTTCTAGTGTGGATTGATTTTAGCTCTGCGAATACGGCAATCCGTTGCCCCGACCAATACGGGTCACGGCATGCTTCCTTGTCTAAACTCCTGTTTGAGAGGTGGATCACAGCCCCTACGGCTAATGTAGGCACAAGCCATGTGACTTTGCATGGTGTTCAACGTGTTCCCTACTTGCAATCAACCCTGTGCCAAGCCCAAGCAATGCCGATTGACGTGAATCACCAAAAGCGATCATTTTTTGAGCCTCCCTTTCGGGACCTCTGCCAGGATGTGTTCCTTCCGTTAATTTGCAGGGATTAAATCCTCAAATACCCATCCCAAGAGGTGGTCCCCGCCTCAGCCTGCACCAGCCTGGTCAAGGAGCTCGGGAAAATGCCCAGCGCCTAGCTGCAGCAGGTAGGGTTAGGGCCTTGTTTCACAGGGGAACCACGAGTTTTCTGTACGCCCCAGAAAAGGTACCCTCCCACCAATGAACATGCGTTTGGGGGGTCCTGGTTTCGACCATTTTACAATTTTCCTTTTAAGGGAACCCCCTGTCAGGTTCAATATTCATACCAGACACGAAAGCATTTTTTTAATTTGAGTCATACAGAAGCTCAATCGAAACTTGCACCCCCAATTTTCAGGTTCAAACCACCCGGACTGGGGGAGACATCCTCGAAAAGCCGGGACATGGCACTCACCGAAATGTCTGGAGCATATTCGGATTGGATGACGCTACAACAGGAACCCGGTCATTTACTGAAAAGTACGCCGCTCCCCAAAAGCAGTCTGGGTGAATTGTACTAGGCACATCAAAACCCTGTATGCGCTTTCACTTGAGGACATAGAAGAACCAGCTCACACGGACTGGTAAGCCCCTTGCTCAAAGGCTAGGTCCCAGTTCAGGGGTCAAAGAAGCTAAAGAACAAAGGAGCCAAAGAACTGTATTGAAGAAACAACAAACAACCGGCTAGCTGAGAAAGCCATGGCCAATCCTTTATTTGGAGCAGAAAAGCGGCAAACTGAATGATTAGAAGTAACACCTTGGCACGACTTGGAGCCCCTGCAACAAAGTTTGCCGGTTCAAGTGGAACTGAAGCACACCCAAAAGGGCAAAAGGCAAACATTTCAAAAGGCAAGTCTGGCAATGACTAGGTTTGCCCAGCAACCCAAGCAATTAGCAGAGTTGCTTGTAAAAACAGGGTGCCGCAAAAAGGGGGGGAAGTCTGGCAATGAAAATCATGAGCAAAACAACTGCCAAAACCAACATGAACACCTAACAGTGCAGAGAGGCAACACTAAATCCAAATCTGACTTAAGATATATATATATATATGTATATATCTACAAGTAAAGCACCTTCATGGTGTTCGCTCGTTTTACCTCGCTTTCTCAGACGTCAGCCCCCCCATCGGAGGCCGACCTGGGCGCAGTCTTCTGCTGCCTCCTCCAGGCGATTCTGACGCAGCAGCGCCTCCCGACCGACGAAAGGTGCGTCTCAGGGGGAAGTTTTCAGATCCCCTGCTGAAAGTTTAACTTTTAGTGGGTCAAAATGCTGACAAGGAAACTGCCACCAAACCCAATAGAAAAAGTGAGGGGATGGCTGGGAACCACCAAGTCAGGGGGAAGCCCCGAAAAGAGTCGTTTCCTGTCGGTTTCCCTTTAACACTCATCTAAAAAGGGTACCCTCAAAAACGGACGCGCCCATGCCGCTTCCCCCAACAGAATATTGAACTGGGTAGCCTGGTTTTTGGGGTTGAAATTGAGTGAGTTCGCCCATCGAAAACGAAACATGGACTACGGGTAATTTTGACCAGACCTCGTTTGGGCTTGTCTCCCAATGGGGCAATCCTCATGTGGCTTCTACTTATAGGTAGCGTACACATATAACTATGGCTATTTACTTGCGCGGGTGGAGGGTCTCACCTTCTTTAGGATATTGTTTTTGTTGGGTATCTGCAAAATGACCAGACCCCTGAAAATGGCTGGCTTCCTTTTGTTAAAGTGAAAAGGTGGGGGCCTCTATTTGGAGAACCCAATGATTCGATTGAGGTCTCATTTAGGGCTCATTGGGAGGCCCGTGCGCAACAGAACAAGGACGCCGCCTTCCAAAGTCCGTGAAGATGCAAGTGCAAGCACTGAGGTTGAACGTAGCTGCACAAGCAGTCATCGAGTGGCTTCCGCCGCCGGCAACGCACAAAATGACCACGGCACACATTTTGACACCCATAAGAAATCCACACATAGGATTCGAATTCTGTGACGCGACCATCTCATCGGATGGCACATGATTGAACATGTCCTTTTGGCGAATCTGAAGTGTGGGGCTTCACATTCCGAAGTCAAAGTAAAGGTAGACTAATATGGATATGACTCAGTTTGAGGCACGCTTTTGGCTTTGTTTTGTGTTATTCTGAGGTTCCGATTGAAACCTGAGGATCTTGCCTGTAAACAACATGGTTTCCACTTTTCATTTCGAGAAGGACCCTCATTCTGAGACACACCCGGAAAACCCCTCTTCTTCATATTGCCAAACCCAACGGGCAAAACCAAAGTCCACCGGCAGTGTGAAGGCTCGCTGTATGTCGGTTCTTCGTGCCGGAACAACCCTTATTTGCAGTCCACGCGAGCCTCTCTACAACCATGAGACTTTGGGGTGATGAAAACATTTGAACCAAAACGCCTAGATTCGCGCTGGTGCTTGCCAAGGCCCAAGTCAGAAGCTGGTTCCAATCAAGTATGCCCGGAAGGTCTTCCGAAAGAAGTACTTGAAAGCACTTCCCAAAAAGAGCAATTACCCCCCCTCCTCCCATTTCTTCAACATGGCGGTTTTACCCAACAAGGATGTCCGCTTTAAGGTGTCACCCATTTGGCAGCACTCTGTTGCTTCTGATTCCTAGCCTCGGCGCGCAATGTGAGGCTGAGCGCATCAGTGAGCTCAGCCTCGTTGATGCGAAACGAGAGGCGTCGCGGCACGACCGCCCATGCCTCACTCACTCAAGGACCGGACATCAAAGGTGCACGGGAACCCTGGATAAATGCACCCCTTGGTTGATGATTCTGTAGGTCCCCACAAAAGAAATTAAGGGAGCACTGTCAAATTCCAGACAAGACTTTCAGGGCCGCAAAAGCGCTGTCGAGAAAGTGCCCGACCTGCCACCAAAACACCAAACGGCCATGTCCAAGCAACCGCTTCCCTCAACACCATATTAGAACCGGGCTATTTGGGTCCTGCGACAGGGCGGGGCCACCATGTCGAAACACCCATTCTTCAAACACCCTCTTGGCGTTCCCTTGGGTTTGGTTGTTTAGACGCATTCTGCCCAACCCCACCACAAATCCGCGCTTACCCCCCGAAAACCCGCGAGAACGCCCGAGGAAGCCGTGCCGCGGTCCCCGTTCAGCTCCGCGCGTCCTTGCCAAGGACTCCCATGGCCTCCGAGGGTTGGGGCGTGTGGACTCCGGTCTTCTGGCTGCAGGAAGTCGGAGCAACCGAACCCCCCAAACCCCCTTGAAGGCACAAGTCGGAGCAAAAATCCGAGGTCCTTCCCATGAGCACACGGGCTGAGATGCTCCAAAGCTGGAAGTTCTTTTCACATTGCAGGCGCCTAACTTGGGGTTGCCTCCTAAGTGGGCACCCCAGCTGTCTTCTCTGGGATTCTCCGGGAATGCTTACGACTGGATGCCTCCAATTGTCGTGCAGGGCCGGCCCAGCTGCGCCGATCATGTCAGGTGATTTAGGTTGTGGCAGTCTTACCTGTTTGGGAGCCCTTGGAGGCACTCCCTCAGACCAACATGGAAGCTCCAGAAGGCCTCAGAAAATGGAACCAAGTTTCTTCCAAAGGAGTCCTGGGAGCTTCCATGGAATCGCCTGGGGGAGGCTAACATCGTGTTCCTCACACCCCAAATAGCTTCGTTTATCTCTTCCTCCGAACGGTTTTCCGGACAACACTCGGCGGCGCGCTTGGCATTGGAGGCAAACCAGTTCGCTGCCTCCCTGTTGGGCATAGCAAAAGCGGTCCATGGACAAAATGATTGGAAGGTGTGATATTCTTCAAGAGTGGGTCTATTCGGACCTTGAGGAAAGGGGATGTTAACCCGACCAAAAGGATGTGCTTACTTGAGGAGGCTGGTCCTTTGCAGACCTGGTCGAAAGGAGCTTGTGAGGAACCTCCTCTCAAACTGCCAAAGCACGGGAACCTTCTACCAAAGCACATTTTCAGATTACGGTACACCGCCAATTCAACCAGGTAGGAGCCGAACCACCCATCAATCAACGGCCCCTTTTAAACGCCTAACCGGGCGATCCGCGGTTGAGCCACCCCCCCCCAAGCCCCGCCGCCCTTGGCCTCTTGCGCGAGGTTTTGCGCCAGAAGCTCCCAGGCCTGCAAGCCGCCGGGTTCCATGAAGGTCATGACTACGGGAATCCCCCCCCCAGGAAAAAAAGTAAACGGTGGTTTCACTTGTGGTGTCCCTTCACCTGAAAAAGGGCGGCCCTCAAAACCAAACGGAATTGTTTGGGCCTATCCAGAAGGACACGAGTTGGAACTCGGGTCGGAACCCCCGGAGGCGCCAATTTTCCCAGGACCCGAGGCGACCAAATCAGAAAACGGGTGAGCGCCTTCAGTGCCACCGACAGCTGCTGCCGCCTCCGGACCTGGCCATGAAACCGCAAAACGGATCGAGGCGTGGCTCACGGTGTGGCGCTGGCGTGGAACGACGACAACCCTGCAAACAAAAACTCATGTCCTGAGTCATGGGCCAGAAAAGTATAAACTTGTTGTATGCCATTTAGATGGTCCTCCAAAAAAGTTGGTAAAGTCCATGAACTCAGGAAGTGAGAAAAAGACCCCCCAAAGGAGGAACAAGCAACACGCATTCAGCTCTTCTCTTAATCTAGCATTCATAGGGCTTCATCCATCCCAACTGGCATGAAGTGGATTTTGTCGATCCACCGCATCAATAGACTGATCAACTGCTCGGTTGCAAGGCCCCGGTCCGCGAACGGCACTGACGCCCCTTTTTCCACAGGAGCGCTGCTTTGCACTCCGAGGCATTAACGGGGGTCTTCTGCCCCATTGGCGTACCTGACTTCTCCACAACGTTTGATCAAGTCAGTAGGTTTGCAGTGAAACTACTGGAGCAAAAAAAAGGAAATCAAGTGGAGCCCTGATCTGAATGGGCTTGCACCCTAGATCGGGTGCACGAGGCCGCCAGGCTCCAAGGGGACTGTCTCAAAGCAAGCTCACGCTTTGGCAAGCAACCCAACCCACTGACACTGACAACCAGGTTCTGGAACTGACAACCCGTCTGGCTGCTCGGGAGGTCGTTACCAATGATCTTTCTCCACTTTCCGAAGTCGCCCGGACATGTACATATATAATACATACACACATGTCTCTCTAGGTGGCCCGGGATCTGAGGCATTCGAACAAAGCAGAGGACTGCGTCGCTCTTCCCTGAGCAAAAGGTCTACATGGGTCTGTCCTTTTTTGGAGGGCATCCATTTTTGGGCTTGGCTTTACAGGGAAGCCAAAAAGATAACCTTTGGCTGAATCCAGATCTGAACCTTTGGGGTTGGACGGTTGGGACCCTCCCACATGGTGGATGCTCCTTTTGGTTTCCCTGCACACCCCACCCAAAAGCCCAGGCACTCTCAAAAAGACAGACCCATCGGGGCATGTGCCTTTTGACCTTCCGACCACCTGTAGAGGAAGTCTTCCCAACCACCATGTGTGCAAAGAAAGCAAGGTTCTTTTACCCAACTAACAACGGTGAAACATTATAACTTCACACAACGGACTCAACAAAAAGATACATATAAGGGACCTTCATTCTTGGCCAGCTCGTGAAATATATCCATCCTGCAAAGTGAGCAGCTTGGAACTCAAAGCGAATAGACTTCGTGCGTTCGATGTGCAACCCCAACCAATCAAACCAACAACGGTGAAGCGGCTCTGACTTGAGACAACCCCCTTGAACCGGCCGGGGCTCTCAGCGCCATGCTTTGCGGTAGGACCTTGGCTAAGGGTTGTGAGGTCCCGCCAAGCGACCTTTACCTTTGTGCGCCAAAGGAACCTCGCTAATTCGAAAGCACATGGCCTAGCCAATTGGTTTGAAGCACTGTAAGCGTAAAGACACATTTGTTTGACGATGTTCAAGAAAGTGGAGAAATCTGAGAGCAATGCTACGGCATGGCCCATCTTCAAATCCCGCTCCGAAACATGCATTCTGCTTCAAGCTCTGCCCAACTCTTAGGGGGAAGCCAAGCCCATTGTTTTGCAGGCCATTTATGGTTGAAGGACACAGTGGACTTAGTCCTAATTAGTTGCAAGCGACCAACGCTTGCCGAGTGGTGTCGTCCTGTGGAGAAACAGGAACACCAGTTTTGCCGGTCGTTTGATCTTCCAAGGCAAAGCGGCAAAACAAAGAAATACGCACGTGCGACAGGGCCGCTGGGTAGTTGGCTCTTGTGGATCTCACATGTGGGATGCTAGAAACTCCCTGTGCGCCACGGTCATGATTCCAGACAATGAATCCGTACAATGGCTAGGATGGTCAAAAATCCATGCCACTCCTTACCGCTTCCTGTGAAAGCTGTTCCGACATGCTTGACAACTTCCCGTCTTGCAACACTCCCCCTTACCGACTGACGAAAAAGCCGGCCCCTTTTTCGGTTTATCTCGAACCGCACGATTGCTAGCAGCTGTTTTTCGTTGTTTCCCTTGAAACAACGCTAACAAGGGAATGGTGATACCCCAACCCCTCTTCGTTCATGTATTGGGACCCTCTTTAAAGAAAACTCACTCAGCACCAATGCATGCTTTGTTCCCCAAGCGTGTGCTGTCCCCAGGTCTCAATGGGACTTTGGATGCCCTACCAGTACGGTTTACCACGAGTTATCCAGGCCAAATGGATGGGGGATGTTGGCCAAAGTGGGCCGACCCCCTTTACAACTGGACCCTCCCTCACGCTCCTGGTGATTGACCAGTATCTTGGCGCTCGAAATGCTTTGGGTTCCCGACATGTCCACGAAGGCGGCCTGCATGTCCTTGGCAAATCGTTTCGCTCCCTGCAAAAAGTTGCTGTTTGCTTCGGGTGGTTCCAGTCAGAGGATCCCCCTATTGCTAAACGGGAGACTACCCCCTTGTTTAGTACGGCCCTCTAGATTAGTCCGAAGTTAACGCGAAAGAAAACAGATCCAAAAAGCTGCCCCCTCCCCAAAAGGGCACTTTTCCAAGATTGATATTTTTGACATGACATCAAAGCACGAAGCTGTCCTTCCTCGAAGATTCCTCTAAAACCGACTAACCACAGTGGTTTTTCCGGATACATGTTGCTCTGCACAAGAGACAAGAAACACTGCAACTGCAAGCCGCCCTGCTCTTTGAGGCGTCGCTTAGCTCCAAAGACGGTCCTTCCCATCCTTCTTTCGGTTTTCGGAAGATGCGGAACGCACAAGCTGAAATTTAAGTGCCTTGAGCAGAAATTGGGTGTGTCTGTTTTTGAGGGTACCCCTTTCTTGGTCGGTTTAAAAGGAAACCAACAGGAACCCGCACCTTTTTGAGGGCTCCGCTTAAAAAAGACACACCCAATTGCCATCCTTTGTTGTGAACATCTTGAAACCACTGCTCTCTTGTGACCGCGCCTGGAAAGGCAGACACCCTCAGATGACTACAAATGCAACAAACAGTGGACCTGAACAAACAAGTTGAGACCCCGGATTTCCGTCCCACTTGCAATAACTAGCAGTGTGCCATCACATTTTGTCAAACTTTGGCGTGTCCTAGCAACGCTAAAATTGGTGGGTTGACACCTGCTCCCCTTCAACCTGTTGCGCGGAGTCACATACCTTGCAAGTTCGTGAGGGCTGGTTCTCCATTTCGATCTTGTTGGGAAAATCAAATGACCCCCAAACCGCATAGAGAACCTCTTTGAAGGGATTCTCTTGATTTGCCTGCGATTTTTTGCTGAAGGCCGAATGATCAAACCCGATTAAACCCAAAGCAGGTGTTTTTTGGAAATCAGGGAACCCCTTTGACTTGAAGGGAAACACATGTAACCCCAGTTCCTCCCCCTCCCCCAATTTGAGAGACACCTCGCTCAGCCGCTCCCACACTAAGTGTAAAACTGCCCACAAAAAGATTAAGCAACTAGAGCATGAACCAAGAACAAGCCATGATGTGGCCTCCTTTGGTGGGTTGTCTGTCTTGAAAAGGGAAACTCTTCATCCGTGTCTTCTTGGCAGGTGTGCAACAAACACCCATGCTTTGCGGCCATGCAATTTGAAGCCGAACCAAGGAACCCAACAATTAAGCAACGGCAACCAACAGTGGGACGGGCGGGACTTATTCTATATGGCCAACCCCTTGTTCAAGCATGTTTGAACATCTATTGATTCAACAACCTCCTTTTGACCAAATCCGGGGTGCGCCAAATCCCAGATGTTCGGATTCTGCATCATATAAACTTCGTCTAAACCATTTAGTTGATCAGACATCAGTTCGTGGAACCCCCAGGCGTCGCCGTCTTGCCGAGGCGCGGATCGCACCACCTTCTTGTCCTCGAGGTCCACCTCCGCCTTCTTGTCCGTATCCTTGCGCTCCTGGAAGTGAAACGCCCCGGTGTCCTTTTTTGGCCTGGTTTAAAAGGGATGAACAAAAAAACACGGCTGGCGGTGTCTGTTTCAAAGGCCACTCTTTGGGGGAGCTAGAGGGAAAATCAAGAGGGAAGCTGTACTTTTGCCTACTCCAAAGAAAAAGTTGTAGGCCAAGTCGAGAAACACACCCACACACCAGTGAATATGGGTGTCTTTTTCTTCGGTCCCCAAAAGGAGAACTCATTGGGGAGGGCCCTTCTCCAGGTGCCGATGCATGAACGGCAACAGGGAATCGAGAAAGTCAGTTTCGGAGTCGGTGCCCTCAACCAGGGTTCCAAGTGGATATGTCAAACTCGTCGCACCCTTCCAAATGCTTCGTTCCCCCCCGCCCCCCCAGGAGACATATGTGCTACCCGAATGGACACAAACACCAAATCGAGCAAAGCGACATCAAAATTGAATGCTATGACACTCTCCTGCCAAGTAACGACGTGGGAACTAGAACCCTTGTTCTTAGAGGACTGTTTCGGCGTTCATGTTGATTTGCTGGGGAATATTCTTGCCTATGCCTGCGTCGCATATTCGAATTCACTGGGCAAAGGAGATCAGCATAAGATCGTGCAAGTTGCGAATCAGTTGGCTGACACACTGTCCATCGATTGAGTCCTGACCAAAAACCCGACTCCCAGCATCCAACGATTCTACCCAAAGCCAGGCAAGCATCTACAAAGGGACCGCACCATTTCTGATCGGCAACGCCCCTCTGCTTATCTGCCAACTACGCCTTTTGTGGTTAGTTCCACTTGTGACATGTCGAAAGCCCCATGCCATGTGGCACCGTGGCACTGTGCCCATTCTTCGGATGGCTTGGCCTCTAAATGACATGTGAGACCCCTTGTTTTCACCAGTCTTTTGTTTCCAAACCAAATGGGAGCCATTAATTTGTAGCAAGTTCCCTTAGTTGTCAAGAGGTCAAACTTGATATCAAGCACATGTCAAAGTTACGGACTCCTTGGAATCTTTTCAAGGCTAGATGAAATAAGCATGGGCCAACCGAAGAAAAAGCGGAACGTGTCTGTGTTGGGACAGTTTACAGCATCCCAAACTTCCAGAAACGTTTTCTCGCTGATGCCAACGTGGACTGTCCCGCTGCGGAGTCACAAGCATTCTCCATACTACTCAGGTTGTGTCCAAATGAAGCATCCCACCCCCCGCACAACATAGCGATTTCCTTCGGGTTCCCTTTCGACCAACCTCCAAAAGAACCCGAACAACAAACATGATGATATCCCTTTGGTATCCCTTTAGAGCAACCTTTAACAGGGGTTCTGAAATCATCCACCCCCAACGAAGGTGTTGCTTCATCTTGTGGGACTTCCGACCCCCAAACTGGTTGGTTGCTCGTTGGCAAGCGCCCCTCCTCGCGCTTGTGGTACTGGTCTGCCGCCCCAATCTGGCGAGATTCGAGAAACTTTAAGGGCTCCACCCCAAACCTGGAGGTTTTAGGTTTGATTGTGGCCCATGTAGAGTTCGGGGTTTGAGGGTAACCCAGCCAGCTAAAGGGAAACAATCATGACATGATTTTTACTTGTAGTTGCTCGATCATGTGAGTGCACACTCAGCATAGCATCACGCCAACCTGATTCCAGCACGACATTTGCATTTGTGGACCCACCCCTCTTCCAGGGCACTAAAAAACGTATAAGCCAAGTATATCAGAGGGGAGATTGGAACAGGTGCAATCCACAACAAAAGCCGTTGTTGGCGTCTTCCCAACAATAATGGAAGCTCTCAGGAGGGTTTCAAGAGGACTACAACCCTCTTGCTAAGGGCTCATGTCCGCCTTAATTCTTGCAAAACAAAGGTTGAAGGCTTCGTTGAGCCCCTCTTAGGTACTAACGGAGCCCATAAAACGCGGTTTGGAAAAGATGAAATCCACCAAACGCAGCTTCGCTCAGTCCCCGCCTTGCCAACGGTGTGGCCTGCCTTGAACTTCTTGGCCCTAACGCGCTCAAAACGGTGGCGTGTTTGGAGCCGAACGCCGCGCGAGCATAGGGTTCCTTTGCTCGGCCCAGTCGCCATGGGACGAACAAGGGCATCTGTTTTTGGTTGGCTGAGTTTAAAGGGGAAGCCTTCCCAAAAGTAAAGGAGTAAAAAAGGGCGGACTCCACTGGGCAACTGGGTTTTGCGGCGGGTGGCCGCCTCTGAATTTGGTTGGGCGTTCCTAACCTCCATCAGGAATTTGGCCCTTACATAAAGCGCAAAGAGCATCAAGTCTCATGTACTAAGTTGGAGCCGTGGCAAGGGAATTTCTGACAACCAAATTTGTGACTGGTGACCACTAGAACATGAGAACCATTCAAAGCTATAACCTTCTCTTGGCTCCCATTGCTATGGTTTTGAGTCAACCTGTGGATTGGCGGACACTGTCCTCTTGTACTGCGCATGAATGGGGCGGGCAGACAAAAAGAGCCTGAGGTGATTTTTTATTGCCTAACCCTGGCATAGCCAGGCGCGCACGAACTTAAGTCTACAATTTAGGATTGGCTCCAAAAACCCACCCTAAACCCTGCCTAAACAAACCCTAAACACACCCTAATCCTACCCGAAGCCTGCCCTAAGCCCACCCTTGACCCACCCTCAACCGACCCTAAGCTTACCACAAACCTACCCTAAACTTACCCTTGACCTACCCGAACCCTTCTGCCTAAATTCTAGACTTAAATATGGCCTTTTCGTGCGCGCCAGGCTGTGCCAGGGTTACGCTGATGCCTAACCAGCCACCCAACCAGCCACCCAACCAGCCAACCAGCCAACCCAGCCCCCAACCCACCAACCCACCGAGCCACCCACCGACCCGCCAACCAGCCAGCCAGCCAGCCAGCCAACCAGCCAACCAACCAACCGACCGACCAGCTGACCAACCAACCGACCGACCAACCAACCAAACAACCAACCAACCCAGGCCTGCAAGGGCTAGCCCTGTCCCAGGGCTAGGCAAAAAGAAAAGCCCGTTCCACAAAAAGGGTCTAACAAAAGCAAAAAAAAAAACCAAAGAAAGCCACCACCAGGGGGAGAACCGCGAAATTCTACCGCAAAGGGCCCGAAAACTGGTCTTCATAACCCCTGACGACAGGGAAGATGGTTGGCTCTTAACAGCTGCAAGTGCTCAACCATGCCCCCTTCACCTGCTTGGGTATTCAACCCACATCAAGCAAGAAGGTTGCAACTAAGCGAACCAAGCCCAGTTCCCGCAGTTACATTCATGGTAAATTCCCCCTGCCTTAGTCAAAATCACAACTTGCTATTAAAACGGTCTACCCAAATCCCGTGGCAAAGAATCAAAAGGCCATGTACTTCTACATGGGCGTGTTTTTGTTTTGAGGGAACGCCTTTTCGGTTGGTTTAAAACGGCAACCAACAGGAAAACCGGTCTGCCATTTCGGGGGGCCGAAAAGCAAAGGGCAGCATATGGGTGGTTGAACCTTATCCCCGAGCCATCTACCTCTGGGGACTTCCCCGCAATTGACTCTGGGTTTCGGGCTGCACGTTTTGCATGAAGACCTGCCACCCGGCGGCACGCTTGTCCTGGCACGGCGCAAGGCCCCAGAGATGCTTTCGGTGGACAAACCAAAGACAAACCAACTTGAAGTTGTGGAAAGTCACCCTTCCCACGTGAGACTCACCTCACTTTCAAGGGGATGGCCCTAGCGCAGAACGTGGCAACCTAAAACGAACAACTGTCCACAACCAGGCAGTCCAGTCTCCGAGCATTTCGGAGCACCAACTAGCTTTTGATTCGGGTCTGTCTCGAAATAGCAAGGTTTCCTTAATCCCTCAAAATGCCATGGGCCAATAACGTCTTTTGTTGGCCGACCTTCTTTTAGTATGGTGTTTCTCTCCAGCGTTGAGAATCGATAAGGCCTGTTTTGCGGTTCAGTCACGCCAGATTCATGAGTTGAACCAATAGCCAGCCAGCCTGTGTGGCATCTCTTCAAACATCAAGCCATGGGCATTTCCCTCAGGGTCCATGGCCTTGTCTAAACTGAGTCAGACGGACAAATCCCAGAGCCTCAGGAACTTAAGGGCAAGCTGAAGTGCTATTTCGGGGAGAAATGGGACAGGGTTTCATTCCTCAAGGGATCAACCGATAGGGTCGTCTCAGAAGGACAACCTTGTCCCGGACAAACATCACCCGGACTCCAGGCACTGAAAGGGAACAGCCTGCTGCACAAAATCAAGAGTCGGTGAGTGCCGGGAATGTTTAAATCTGGTACCATGATTATGGTGAAAGAACGTAGAATACCTTGTTCCAATGTAGCAAATGGCAAGGAACAAGGGGCCAACCCAGCCCCCCCCCCCCCCCCAGTTCCTTTGTTCGGCCAACTTGATCGCTCAGTGTTTTGCTCTGGACCCATACATCCAACCTCTGTCGGCAAAATACACAGTTTGGTGGGAGTCTGGAAACTGGCAAGGGGGTTGCTCCTCCAAAGGTGATCCGGCTGCTCCCCCCAAATCAAATCGGGTTTACTAAACCAGGGCTAACACCGTTGGCAAGATAGGTGTCCAAAAAATTGCACCTCAAGTCCATCTCAGATTGCAAGTCCAGCAACACAACTTGCCTCCACGAGTCAGCTGCGCCAGTCGCGCTATCCAATCTACCAGTGAGGTTTCGGATCAACCCTGAAAGACTCTAGGTTCTCGGTACGTACATGAAGTACAGCCACACAATAAGTACATACAGGCACAGGTACATAACCCCGACACCCAGCCCCCAAGCCCCCAAGCACCCAATGGGTATATCTGTAGTATCTCTCTTTTTGAGGATACCCCTTTTGATGATCACGACACACCCCAATCGCCCGGATTCCATCCCCGCCACCGGCGCCTTGTTGCGCTCCCACTCGCGCAGCTCCTTGTGCTCCGCCTTCTTCCGCTCCCGGCGCTCACGGGCCTGGCCGGAGGGCTCACCATGAGCTGAACCGGTGCCCCAGTTGTTTGTTGGACCATGCGATATATAAACATAACTAAATGACAAACGGACAAAAAATATAATGTAATAACATAACGCAACACATATTTGTGTAACACTGCAGAACATAACATTATAGAATGGAACACAGGAATGCGTACATTAAATACTATACATGTATGTACATATATATATACATATATATATATAATATATATATATATACGTGAGCAAAATTAAACAATACATAAGAATAGTAAATATAATGTAATTTAGAATAAACGAAACACATAACAATAAATGTAACTGAACAAATACAAACAAAAAATGTTTCCCTAAAACCAGACACCCACACGCACAAATCGACAAACAAACAATCAAACAAACAACTACATACATAATTTACGTGAACTGTGTGTTAACAAAAATAGCACAACATAATATCAACAAATAAGTAACCTGATATACATAGAAGAATGAACACATAAGCATACATAAACAAATAGAATACATAACGACACAACAAACAACAATACAAAGAAAAAAAAATAAAAAAATAAATAAATATATAAACAAACAAGCAAGCAAGCAGGCAAACAAACAAACAAAAACAAACAAACAAACAAACAAACAAACAAACACACAACCAAACAAACAAACAAACAAACAAACAAACAAACAAACAAACAAGCAAACAAACAAACAAGCAAACACATAACCACCAAACATACACACACAAACAAACAAACAAACAAACAAACAAACAAACAAACAAACAAACAAACAACAAACACACAAATACATGTATGCAGATCTGTATATACGCATATAGGTATATACACATGGGTGGGTATACCAAGTGTAACATATTAGGGGAATCTCCTCTTGGCTTTGGCAGGTGGCCGAGGCTTCCCAAAAGGACTACCTAAATGCTTGGAGGTTTGAGATTGGTCTGGTTTTTGTTGATCTTGTGTTTACATCTGCTCTTACAAAGGCAAGCCTGAACATGGGTAAACCGGATTTCGCCCTGGCTCCGCAGCTGCAGGAATGAAACTCATGTGCCCTTCTGCCTGCAGTTGGGGCCCAGAATCGCTCGTTACCGCCGGATCAGTCGCTCCGCCATCTATGAGCCACGGACGATACTATATACTTACATTTGGTTCTGTTGAGTAAGCCTAGTTTTGATTCGGAATATAGCCCCCCTTCTCGTCATCTCCAAATGAACAACAGACCCGCAATATTGTTGCTCAAGGGACGCTCGGGATCCACTTGAGAGGTTTCATGTATTTTCCTTGGGCTTGTGTCCCAAAAGAATACCCAGGGGCCGCGGCTGAGCAAAGACCAGCAGTGTGGGAATGCACCCCCAGAGCTTTTGCCACGGGCTCTCCATAGTTAGTGAACCTTGTGTAAAACCGTTTCAATAGATAACCCCCCGAAACTGGGTTGTTCTTGCTCACGCCGACGATAACGACCTCAGCTGTTGCACTTTTTGGCCGTTTTCTCCCCTTCCCCCCCGAAACAGTCTACACAGGGTCATTGCGGGGAGGCGGGGGGAAGGAGGGATGGTTCCGGCATCTCCACAGTTCACCGAGCTCTGGACTAGGCTCACAGTGCCAGAGTATCCGCCAGCGTTGTCATGTGCTTCGCATCACGGGGTGGGTGTGGGTGTTGGGGGCGGGGGGGGCTTGGTGGGGGGAATGGTGTTGATCTCTTGCAAACGCACATGTTTTCATGTTTGCGCACCACCAGGGGGGGAGAACAAACGCTAAGGGCAGCTTGGGCGAAGCGGCGCGGTGAGAACTCATTTTAAAAGGTCTCACCTTGTTGTATATGGACAAGCCGTGTTCCAAAAGGCCTTTCAAACGAGGTCGTTGTCACAGCCAAAGGCACGAGTTTGGGCCATTTGCCCTCTGCCGAAAGCGCCTGCTCCTCGTAGCGCTTCTTGTTGGCCTCCGCCACCGAGTTCGCCGCCTCCGCCGCCTCCGTGGCCGAGGAGGTCATCCTGGCGCGCGATACCTCCCTTTTGACTCAAGATCATGCCAGGGGGTGTTTCTCAAAATGGTCCATGAGGTCCATCAGGCCAGTTTCCTCAAACATCACCGTCAGGTGGCTATGGGTCAAAACCTCGGTCACCCCCCGGTGAACATCCTAGCCCCCACTAAATTGGACTAAAATGGGTGGTGCACCTACCCCGAAATGGTACCATTGGTGTTGACCCACGGCCATTTGGGCGGAAAAATGAGGGACGAGCTTTTTCTTGCAAACATAGGGCGTGGATCTGATTGTCCCATCCAACAACGACCTGATTATCCAAAAACTGGAATGAGGGAACTAACCTCAGCTACCCCAGTTATACATATGGTTACAACCTGCTTCGGGAACATGGCTTGGCCGAATGGTGAGGCTTGATTCAACAGAAAAAAGAAAAAAAGAAAAAAACGAGCAATGCTTTAGGTATGATTGGCCAAACAAAGTGTGAACTTTGCGTGTGCACCACTACAATGGTCTTCCACCCATGGGGTCAAGCTTCTCCGCAGCCCAGCGAGCACCATCCACGACTCGCTGGCTATGCCCGAGAAGTTGCTGATAGTCACAATGTCTCATGTTAGCGCAAGAGAGGCTGACTCTGTGAGGCGGTTCCCAATGTCCTCACTCGAGGCCCAACCCGCTCACTTCAAAACTTGATCGGATGCCCTGAATCTCCGCGAGTTCAAGTCTAGCAGATCCAACGAGAACTCCAGAGGCCTCGAGCTTTGAATCCGAAGATCAACGAGCTCCTCCGGAGTTCTCTGACTTGAACGTCGCCTTGGTGAGCCTTCCCAGGTGAACCACTCCAAGTCAGCCCTGCGAGTTGCCTCAATCGTGTCAAAGGCTGAGAGCATGTGGTGAGTATCCTCCCCCGAAGCAAAAGCCAGAAAGAGCTCCTAAGAAGCTAGACTTGTCAAACGAAGCTACACTCACGTCCAGTGAGATTATGAGCAACTTCTACCTTTCAGCCCAAGAAAACTTGCCCAGTCTGCATTCAACGCTTTGCAGGCCTGAATGGGAAACCCAAGATTCATAAACCCTGGGGGTGTCCCATTGTGGGAATTCATCACTGGGTTAATCTTCCACAGCCAGGCTGACTCATCCGTTCCATCCCACAATCGAGCAACATTCCATGCCGGGTTTAGCATGACAGCCCTGCCTCTCGCACTCCTCCCAAACAGCTCGGTCGAACTCTCCGCCATCCTGTGCCGGCTCTGGCGCGCCAAAAAAGCACAGGTGTGATGTGTGATGTGTGTGACTGCCTATTGGGGACCCTTTGATGTGGAGGCACTCGAGGTGGCGCCCTATTGCAAACTTCATAGCCACGTGGGGTGTGAGTGAGCCCTCTGGTTCTGGCGAAAAGAAGGAAAAACAAGTCGTCTATGAGAACGTAGACTAGTTGTGCCGCACAAGTTGTGCCATTCGCAATAAATTGATTACGCGGATGTCATGCTATTCTTCTCACTCCCAACTGTTGATGTCGAATGACATACACACACACACCACACACAAGCACACACACAATTCACACACACACACTTCACACACACAGACACACACACACACCACACACAAGCACACACACAATTCACACACACACACACACTTCACACACAGACACACACACACACACACTTACACACACTTACACACACTTGAACTCCAAATGGAGGGTGCTAATCTTTCGAGTACAACTGATGAGTCTCGAGTCCAACTGAAGAGTCTCGAGTACAACTGGTAAGTCTCGAGTACGATGAGTTTCGGCTCGCAATGCACTTGGCTTCCCTGTAGCTACTTTAACAGGGAAACACAGAAGCAACGGCGGTTCAGGGAGGGGACCAAAAGGACCTTAAATCACTTCTGAAGGTACGTTTGCACAGCAAACTGGATGGGTCTTCGTTGGCCCGCGCCATCCAGTTGCTCGCGGGCCCCCTGCGTGAGAAATTGTGGTGGCAGGGTATTCTGCCACTCCGCACACACACACACATCCTCAACATGTGGTCCATGCCCTCCCCAAACAAAAATGACAAGTTGACCACGTAACGCGAGTTTGTTGCGTCGATGAAAATCGTGAAGGAGATACGTTGACGTCGAGAATGACCGACTTCAGATTGTCCATAAGAAGGCATCTAGGTCTGGCAGCATTCAGGAGAAAGGAAGGACCTGCTTGCCACAACAATTTCTACCGAGAGACCCTTGCCCGCAGTGGCACAGCCATGCTACTAGTCTTGAGCATTTGCCTTTGGAACCAACTTGAACCTTCGCACAAATCAACAAGTGAGCCAACGGAAGTTGGTATCACGTTGGTTCCCTCTTGTGTTTTGTAGGTTCCTCTTTGTTTGTGTTCGGCTCCCGTGTATGCTTCTAGGCTTCCATCCCTTTAGAAGGTTCCTCCTGCTTTTAGGTGAGTCGCCCATATATTTGTGAAGGTCCCCCGCCCCGTTTTTGTTGGACCGCTCGTTCCCGCTGCGCCTGGGCGCCTGGCCCCCCCTCCCTCAGCTGGCTGGGGAGCCGCACGGTAGGCAAGGGGTCTTCGCCCTTCTTCTCCCGCACCTCGTTCTCCTTCTCCCGCTGCTTCCTGACTCATTTTGTTCACTAACTCGCTTATCCTAAGCACCCACAAATATGAGGTGAGTACTTTGTGGGGCCAGTAAAAAGTGGACCAAGCTTGGAAAACCAACGGTCAGAGGGTCGGCTTTGGGCAGGTGAGATTCTTTCAAGATTGGCTGAACATTGAACACCGGCAACCACCTGAGCCCAGCAATGCTCCCCTGCTAATCCACGTGGAGCCCGAAAAGCAGGTCATCCTTTGCTCAAAGGAAATTTGATGTCCCCAAACATGGTGAATTAGCTTAGATTGTAAGTTGCAGGGGAGTCCCCTGATGAGGTCGCTATAAGTCACCCAGGATGATGAGCAGGGCGACTGAGGGTTTGAGGCTCACCTAAATTGATGTTGGCGTAAGTTAACCTCATGGCCTTCCTCCGAGGGATAGAAACGCCAGCGCACCTCACTTTCTTCTTTGCCTCGATGATGACATCTGCGTACCTGAAAACTGCGCAAAGTGCTCCCGATGAGTCATGGAGGTAATTGGCGCCTCTGGAATTGTGCCCCAGCATATGCTTCTCCAAATGGAACCAGGGGTATTGGGTACATTAAAGCGTACAGTCAACACAATATACACTCATATTTTTTCGGGGCACGTGCCATTCATGGGCAAGAAAAGAAACAACATCGTAGGCTTGCTTCATCTTGCTACCCCGACAAAACGCCCCGCGTCCAATCAGGAGCACTTGTCCTGATAGTTGGGATCTTTGGTGTCGTTGTAGGCCTTGACTATGACCTGCGGTCGAGTCATCCAAAGAGCTTTCGTAAAATGAGTTTGTCTTGATTGAGATGGGGGAACCCAAATGGGTGGTGTACCATTGAAAGCAACCCCAAAAGGGGTGGTACTCTCCAGCCGTACACAGCCAAAAAGGACAAGGTCACCCCACAAATGGTTCGTCTCCCGTTGGCTTCTGTTTGCAGATTACATCCCAACTTTCCTGTAGCGCCAGACTGTAACAACCCAGGGAACCACCAGCCTTGCCATTTCACCAATCCGACCCTGTCACCCCCACGGCAATCAGTTGAAGGCAGGAGGCCCCCGTTGTTGACTGCCCGAATTTCTTTGACACCCCAGGTTGAACACGCGAAGAGGAAGCTGCTCAGAATCGTTTCTGTCCGACAAGTGGGCCGATTCCTGAGAGTGAATATTATACATGGTGGTGACCCTTGCTTCTAGTTGCCGATGTCTTACTAAAAAGGACCCAAAGGAAATCTGCATCCAGACCCCGATTCCTCACTTGCGAGTTTCCGTAGCGACCCCCTGGTTTCCGGACGAGTTCGGACCCCGGGGCAGTTCTCCTTGTGGCCTCCCTTTAAACCGACGACAAAAAGGGTACCAACTCCAAAACGACTTCTGTCGCATTTCGGAAAGTCCTATGGCAAGCTCCAAAAATAATCCTCACGATGCCTTCTCTTTAAACCACCCTCAAATACCCAAATGTACGTGACACCAATAAACGACACATCCAGATGTACATGTTTTCCCTTTGGTTTCCACTCTCGATGACAATAAACGAATCCACGCCTGGAAGGCCTCTGCGGCTCGCTCCAACTTGCACTTGTCCGGGTGCACCAGCACCTCTCTCCGCAGCGGATTTGCTCGCGCGCCGTGGTCGTCTTACCCGGCAAAGGACTGGGAAATTTGTGGTGTTCCATGGGTAAAACAAAACGTGGCTGCCGTTCTTGCCATTTTGTTTAAAGGAAATGATAATAAAGGGGTGAACGCCCACATGCCTTGTTTACGGAAGCCGAACAAACAAAAACAAGTTGGGTCTCCCATGGGGAAAAGGGACTTTCCTTTTGGCTTATTTTCAATTGGACCTCGAACCACAGATCGCAGGTTGATTCCTTGAAGATCAACGCCGCAAATTTCTCTCAAGAGCCTGAAAGTGACCATGTTGGATTCCCCACCCCCCCGTTCAAAGACAACACCACATACATGGCGGCCTGCTCGATTGTTCAAATCCTGCAGGGGTGAATCCTTCAGTTTGGGACCCCTCTCTTGAAATTTGGAGGGTGCGAGGGCAACCAAAAGGGATGTCCACCAGAGCCAAACCTTGGGACAGATCTGGGGCCCCGGCGGAGAGTCTTCTGTATTGCTTGGTGATCTCATTAGTCTCCGCGTCCGGAGCAACCTGACGCCAAAGCG